AATTATATATATATATACATATATTATGCGTGTGAACAATTATGTATATATATATATATATGTATATATTTATATATACATGATTATTGAAACAATATGCGTCATCATAATTGCGTTTTAATTTCTATTAGAAAAATATTGAATATTTAATGAATATTTTTAAAAACTGAAAGTTACCAATTAATATATAATTAAAAAAAAATTGAAAATAAATTTTGATTTAATAAAAAAAAAGTATACTTATCTTTTAGCAGGATTTATTATTATAAATATTATATATTTCTTTGAAATGATGAAATAATTTGATTTGATTTCAAATTTTATCTTTTATATTTGAATGTTTTCAATAGAGAAAATAAGTCAAAAAAGACAAAAGATAAATTATGTAAGAAGTCAGAATAATTTTTTAAATACTTCAAGTTTAATATTAATAGTATCTTTTTATAATTAGTATTAAAAATTATTAAATAATTATCTTTAATTAGTTAATATTTTTTGTAATTATAAAAAAATTGTTCATTTGTAAACAAATATATAAGTATTTTTATCGTTCATTAAAAATTATTAAATTTTTCACTATTAAAAGCTTTTTTGAATTTCATGAAAATATGAAAATTATTATTTTTCAATAGAATGTTTCGAAATTTTTTCCTACTTTTTTTGTTGTCATAAGCATTCGTTTTTTTTAATTCCCATTTATGAAATAATTCTTTGTGTAATATATTAGAATATATTTTGTAATATTATATTTACAATAAAAATTAAAACACTATAATCTTGTAAAACAAATAATGAAAATATGTTTACAATTTTTATTTCGTGATCACGCGTCAACAATAAACAATACGATAAATAAGAAAAATAAATAATGAGAGAAAAATAAGAATAGGCTAAAAATTAGAGAATCAGCGCCATCTTTAGAATGCCGCAAATGAAACATATAAAAAAAAATAATGAGATAAAAACGAATATAAAATAAGAATTGACTTTTAGTGCCATCTTTTGATTGATAAAAGAATTTCATCAAATATCTTTCTTAAAATATTCAAGAGATGGCGTTGGAAGTTAATTCTTATTTTACTTTATCCTGCTTTTAAAGAGATATTTTTATTATATAAGAGATGGCGTTAAAAGTTAATTCCTACTCTATCTATCCTTTTTTTATTATTTTTTGTCCTTTTTTATGTGTTTCATTTGCGGCACTCTGAAGATGGCGCTGATTCCCTAATTTTTAATTTATTTTTATCTTTCTCTCATTATTTTATTACTTTTCTTGCTTTTTGTGAAATTCATAGATAAAATTTCGATATTTGATTTTATTATTCTTTTTATGAAATTATTGATCTTTTTTTTGTTTGTATTATATAAATATTAATATTTACATTTTTTATAAAAAAATTTCACAAATTGATATTTTTTTATATAATAAAAAATATGAATATAATTTTTAATTTATGAGTTGATTGAACAGAATTGAATTCATATATGAATTTGTTTATTATCAGTAACAATAAAAAAATATATAAATATAATTTAATACATGTAATATAAATTAATAAATAATTTATAAAAGAATATATTAAAAAAATTATTTTTAAAATCTATTGATTTTACTAATTTTTGTGATTAAACTTTATATAATTCTTATTCACTGTATTAAACATATTAGAGAATATTTTTGAACATGAAATATAATATTCTATTAAATATTAATCTATTCTATATCTGCAATATTTTTATTGAATCGGTAATATTGAAAATGACATAAAAATGATAAAGATATTCTGAAATTTTCAAGCATGGAACAAAAATACATTGGATGTTAGGTCTATTCTATCTCTTGTTTGAGGTCTAACCTTTACAAAGAGAATCCACGGTACTTATCGAAATAAAACAAACTCTTGACAGGTGTCTCACAAAAGGAAAAATGGCAAAATATTTAAATTGTGGATTCTTTTTAATATTTTTTATCCTAAATTTAGGTAAGATAAAAAGAGCGTGAAATTTTATTTTAAAAATATAATAAATAAAATTATCATATTAAAGAATTAAGTAATTTTTAACGAGCAAGTAATTCAATAAAATACAAAGTTATAAAATTATAAAGTTTTTATTTATTTTAAAATAAATTTAGGAAAAATTATATTTATTTCATTTTTTCAAGTTTTTATCATTTAGAAACAGCGACAATTTTTTTCATTATATATATATATAAAAGAAAATTATTAGATTTGTGTAATAAAATTAATAAATATAAAATTCTTATTTATAGCGGCTGCAGAACGAATAAAAGATATGATTTACATGAATTTTGAAGGGGTTGCTGCTTGTTTTCGTAGACACAATGGAACACATCAATTTGGATGTTCTTGTAAGTATAATGTTACAATACATAAGTATAATGTTACATTGTATTATTCTTTTTTACATTATTTAATTTTATGCAAAAAATTTAATTTTCAATTTCTTTTATACAATAATTTTGGTTTTAATTTAAATATATTTATTATTTATAATAAAGTTAATTTATATAAAATATGTTGTTTGTTATAGCAAATAGGTCAGGAAGTGTTGGCATTATTCATTTAATTGAAGGTGAAAGTGATATTAGGTGGCTAGAATACAATGCAACTGCTGGAGAATATACTGTAGTTCTTACATTTTCTATGTTTACCAGAAATACGTTATTTAGATTAAGAAATACACATAAGATAAATGGAGTTTTATTAGCTAGAAATATTAGTCAACCACGTCCTGATTTTTATTCTCCTGAAGATACTTGTCCTAATAGATATTCAGGATATAAAAAGTGCAATGATGCTTCTCCATGGAATCCTAGTGGATCTTCATTACTTATGGAAGATTGGCCTTTTCCAATGTTTTATACAGAGGTTGGTTTTAAATTTCTTATATCATTTATTCTTAAAATTTATATATTTTTTTCTTTTATTTTTATTTATCATAGTATCTCTAAATTATTTATTTTAATTTTAATTTTAGAATCAAACACTGATAGAAGCTATAAGATCTTGCTTTTTGACACATAATGCACATGATTTAAAAAATCAAAAATATAGACCACTATGTGCATTAGAAATGAAATCATTCATGTTTGCTGCAATTAATTCTGAATCTTGCATTAAACGTAGTGATTTTAAGTTAAATTTCAATCCAACACAATTTTGTGATCCATTGGGAGATAGGAATATATATTGGCCTTTAGCTCCCATAAATAAAGATAACAATTCTATAATATTAGTAATAGCCAGATTAGATGCCTCTTCTTTATTTGATGGAATATCACCTGGAGCAGGCAATGTAGTTACAGGATTAGTAACTCTACTTGCAACTGCTTATTATTTGAATATTTTAGCTAAAGATATTGTACTGAATAGTAAGTATGACAATGTACAATATAATCTGTGTAAATAGTTTTTATAATTAATTGTCTTTATATTTTTTTCTTTCCAGATACTAATGTTGTCTTTGCTTTATTAAATGGCGAAGCTTTTGACTATATAGGATCTAGTAGACTAATTTATGATTTGAAAGAAGGTAATTTTAATGCATTAGGTGGAATAAATTTAAAATTTGATGATATTAAGAGTGTGATTGAATTTGGTCAGCTGACTAAAGGAAAATTATATGTACATTCTAATAATGCACAAAATGACGAAATAATAAATAAAATCAGTACAGTCTTACATGCAGATGTTATGGAAAATAGTGTTCCACCTACATCTATACAGAGTTTCTTAGAAGAAAAACCAAATTTAACTGCCATTGTTATAAGCAATCACGGTAAACAATTTGAAAATAAATATTATAATGGAATTTTGGATGATGCAGAAAGTCTTAATTTTAATAGGTATTAATATTAAGATTTTTTTAATAATTTAAATTTTATATATAAGTATATTTTTATCTTAATTTTTTATTATATAAAATATTTTTCACTAGGAGTGGCATAAATGAGCTTGCAACTGTTTTAGCAAAAATAGCAGTTGATGTCGCTAAAATTCTTTATAAAAAAGTATCTGGTAATGAGCCTCCATCCATAGATGATTCTTCTGTTGAATATCAGATTTCGGAAATGTTGATTTGTTATCTAGAAAGTGCTAACTGCCCTTTATTTCATGCTGTTTCACCTCCAAATGCCAAATTAATTAATCAAGTTTTATCATTATATGTTGGTGTACATAGAGTACCGAATACTGCCACTACATTAACTGGTCAACTTCTTGCATATTTGACTAGAGAAGAAGTTCCACATATGACAGAAGCGACATGTTACGAAAATCATCTTATTTGGATGGATGATTATAATTCTACAGGTTTATGTATAAATTCTTCTGTAAATTATAGTACAGCTATGAGTCCTGCATTTATAATTGATGGTAAGTTTATTAAGTTATTATAAACTATTTTTTGAAATAAAGCATTAAATTTTTATATTTTGAATAGGATATGATATGAAATCAGGAGTTTATTCAACATGGACAGAATCTATATGGCAAACTTTAAGTGTAAGAATGTTTTTGAAGCCTTCAGTAGCTACAGAACAACTTACTATGATTTTAGGAACTTCAGTAGCTAGTATATCATTCGTCCTTGTATGGTTCATTAATTCGCGAGCTGATATATTGTTTAATTCAAGGTAATTTAATAATTTTAATATGAAAAATGAATAATATTGAGTTAATTGATTACTATGTTAAGTATTAAAGAAATTTGTTTTAGAAGAACTCTAAACTGTTAGGGATACGCTGCGGACCACATATCAATGGCCAGATTGGATCATCGGGAAAACGAAAATGTTCCAGTAACTAGCCTTTGAATGTATGGTACGCTCTCGGACAATTTTTATACCTCAATATATTTCGATGCCACCGACTTCTAATTATTATG